ACTGCTGCTTTAGAGATTAGGACAACTTCTGATTTCCTCTCTTTATATCTCCTCCAACTCCCTAAAAACATACAAACACCACACACACAAAAACTGGAGATAGCTGATAACCTCATTCATAAATTGGAGGGTAAAAAATGATCTCTCTTATCATACCACTGTTTCAGTCATACTTGGTTGCTTTCTATTCAACAAGTCTTGTAATCTATACTTCCTCATTTTCCTTGCTGTGTGCTTGTGATTGTTACTCTCCGTCTCGATATGAATTCTTAGTTTCAGCTGAAACTTGTTCTCTTCATTTAAATAAATTTTTAGGTTATTATGAGCGCATTTCTTCAACTTTCTTGTATGATCTCCCAATAGGGTAAGCCGAAATTTGAAGAGGTTACTTAGAGATTCATGTAACTAATGTAATGTTTATAATCGCTGATTCACATAATGCGTTAACTACCTCTAATTCTAACAGTTGTATCACCATCTTGTTGCATTTTTTTTTTGGAAAAAGTTGAATTATTTTGAATCTATGATTTATAGTGATATTTACAGTGATAACCTTCAATAACAAAAACGTATGTCTGGCAATAAATGTTTATCTTTCTCAACTCATCTAAAATTAGACATTAGCCCATAACAATTACTGGTTAAACTTGTTCTCCTTATTGCATAAGGCTTCAGTAGCGGAACTGAGTTGACAAAAGTGACAGATATTTTACAAAATTGAAAGGACACGTCAGAGTTATTTTTGCTATTCTATTCGCTCTCCCCTTTCTTTTCATAATTCCAGAAATATATTTCTTACAAGTTGCTAATATCATATGCTCTGAAACTTGGATAGATATTGTTATCCGTTGATGATAGCTAATAGCTTTGAGGTTAACTTGTTTCGTTTTTTTCTGTGCAAGACGAAAATAATGTGGAGGTTTTGCTTTCTTTAGCTTCAGCAGGTGAAAGACAACGGATATCTTAGTTTATATGCTTTAAAGGTCAAAATACCATAACGGCGAAGCCGAGTGTCCATAATTCATCAAGATGAGGAGAGAGGGACCGAGGCGTAGTCAAAGTTGTTTTCAAGGGGTGTTTGTTATTGTGACAAATATGCTAAGGCTAATCTAAGCAAATGACATTGGTCATTTCTACTTAGTCGATCGCAAAAGCCGCTGTATTTGTTTGAACGCTACTAAAAGAATAAAAGAACCGAAAACCAATTTAGCTATATGAAATCTGGGATTTGTGAACAATTTACGTGCTTCAGCTAAAGAAAATCATGTAAGTTTGAAGCATGAAGGTTTAGCATGACAAAATATCTTCTTCCAAACAAATCAAGGTTTGAGCAGTTGTTGTGCTAGTCTTAACTGCTCCCTTTCAACCGATGTCTGACCAATTGCTATCCAACGGCTAACCTTCCTCGATGAATAATTTGAAGGCGGTTTTCGCATGGACTTCACATCTATCAATCGCCCTTGGTTCTTGGAACCTGTTCGCCAGATCACTCGCTGTCCATGCGGTTGATTGTCGTGGCATTGTCATGGCTTCCCTTGGCTTTCTGCCAGAATGCAGCTGATCTCGAATTCTCCCCTTACGTCTACTCTGCCGTGAATATTCCGTTTAAAAGTGTGAGTATGGTTCTATCTAAACATTTGTTTTATGAACGCATATATAAAAGGTTTATTTAGTAATTCATCCTATAATTGGACGTAGATATAGAATAAAGCTTGATAAAAAGGGCTACTAAAATCTTCATAATGTAGCATACCTATTCCTGTTACAACTGTACAATTTGCAAACATCTCAAAAATGATTTTTGCTACTTCTGAATAGCACATTTCTGAATGAATATCGTTCAGGCTAAGTCTAAGGCTTCCTTTGACACTTTAATCCTCTTTGTTGTCCAAAGAAACAGTTCGACGAGCGCCTAACACTGTCTTCTTTTCATACATTATAATAATAAAACAACACAATCTTCTTGGAGGGGATTTGCAGTCTCATCAAAACAACTTTAGGTAGCCTAGCTCGTTGTGTTTTGTTTTGTTTACGATGGCTTGCATTCACAGTATAATTCAGCCAATTCAAATCTCCTTACGAGGAGAGGCAGTTGTTGTCCTCGTTTGCGCGAACTGCTCAAGTTGCAAAAGAGACGAGTGACAATTATTGTGCGTTCGTTCATGGGAAATGGAACAAAATAAGCGTTCACAGTAATTTTGTTCCTATTTCCCATTCAACCTTTCCCTTTTTCAACTTCTTACTTGATCTCAAATAATAGTAAGTAGATGCATCGTACAGTAATAGTTTTTGGTAGCCTTACTATGTGTAAGATAAATATGCAATAACTAAATGTGGTCTTATCCAACAAACTATAATTAAGGCAAGGTGATGTAACATACGCTTTTAGTCCAACTACGCTAAGGATTGGTATGGATCAGATGTTGCACTTGTACAACATCCCTTATTAGGTAAGAGCAATTCCTAAAGACTTTTCAATGTCATAATCATCGGAAAATTGTGTTGAAAGCAGAGCTTAGGGGCCACATTTCTGCCAGTGTTCCGCCGTACATATGAGAAACAGAAAATAAAAATTGTTGCGGACTTTCTCATATTCAATAAGGCAGGACAAAATGTTTACAAACTGTTTGTTTTGAAACAAAAATAACTTCAGATAAGGCGGTGGGCCTAACAAAGCAATATGCTAAAATATATCTTTTAATAGAAAGGAGCAAGAAGTATAGAGAACAAAATTCTTGTATGTAATCATTTAAAAGTAAAAGTCTTTTAAGAGTACGCTACAATGCGATGGAAAATTCTGAAATAAAATGTGAGTAATAAAATAAGTTTTTGACTCTACAGTCCATTAGCCATTGCCTTATTGTAAAAACTTTCGAGGAAAGTTCTATAGCTTTCAGACCTTACACATTCTAAAAGCAATAATACTAATCAATGGAACAGTTATTTAGAAATACCCTAAGTACTAGGCAGAATACCGTACATTGCGTAAACTTTTAATACAAGGAAGAATATGTTGAACAAAGCAAGTTCGAGTCATTTGAACAAAGTTCCGCTAATTTAAAATGCAAAAGTTATATATCCATATACTTGAAACGCACTTTTGAGGCATAATTTCCCTAGTTATATTTATCCTATCAAATGCAAAATACTATAGCATGTCTTATTTCACGCGCACTAAATGTACTTCTGAATACTGAACTTTCACTGCGAGCAAGTAACAGATTTGAAAGGACCTCTTCGCAATGAGTCGCTTCTGGAGCCCGTGGAAATTTCTAAAGCGCAATTTTATGATTAGACCATGAAATGCATGCGTTCCATAAAGATCATCAACATCTCAGCCTATGCCTTCGAAATTTCAGGCAGTTGAAGGGCGAATCTTTGTGACATTAATAAGCATGTGCCTTTTCATATAATGCAAATCAAACATCAACTAGTCTTTTGTAATTCAGTTGAACTGATTGCTGCTAAATTGAACCATCTGTGAAGTTGTTGGAATGTTGGTGTGATTGATGATGAACACTTATAGCACCAGCGAAACCGTCAAAGCCAGGTAATCCGGTAGCACTGCCCACAATTGCACCGTACGTCGTC